ATATTTTGGGGCTGGCCCGGTTTCCAGACTGCACTAGGGCACTGGGCTGTATGCCCCCCCGACGTTTAGTACACTTGGTGGGTACTGGGTTCCTGGCCTGAACTGTCAGAGTATATGCACTTCCAACCTGCCCTCTGGTACAGGATCCCCGCCTTAACTGAGACAGGAACAGTGCATTCCCCGCTTGCCCTGGGGCAGTGGACCCCGCTTTCCCAGCCTGCACCTCTACTCCAAATTGAACCCAGCCAATGGCTGCTGTACTGCCTGGGGTCTCGTGGACCCTGTGTTCCCCATAGTGTGCCTGGGTCTGATAAAACAGTGCTTGGCCAGGTGGGTGCAGAGAGGGGAGGTGTGATAAGGGTCTGTGCCCCTACCCCCAGTATAGAGCAAATGCTGGCAGCCAACCCGGGCAAGACCCCGATCAGCCTTCTGCAGGAGTATGGGACCAGAATAGGGAAGACGCCCGTGTACGACCTTCTCAAAGCCGAGGGCCAAGCCCACCAGCCTAATTTCACCTTTCGGGTCACCGTTGGCGACACCAGCTGCACTGGTGAGGAAGGCTTGGGCAGCCTAGCCGGGGTGTGCGTTCACAGGGCCCCATTGGCTTTTTTTTTCGGAGTCTCTTCACAGTCCTTTTTTCCAAGGCCAGTAAGGGAAAGAAATTTCAGGGGGAAAGGCCACTGACTGGATTGGGAGAACAGTTCTATGAGGAGGTGGGTAGGGCTTGGGAGAATTAGAGGAACAAGCAGGACTGCCACAGTGACCTGGGAGGTCATTATCATCCTAGAGGAAAAAGAGGAGATAAACCGAAATCTCTGCGAAGTATTGGGGAGTGCCTGCTGTGCTGGGGCTCTGTTCTAGATGCTTAACCAAATTCCTATTTAATCATAAACCTCAGTCTAATCCAGTAATGTAGGTGGTAGTATCCTCATGTTGAAGATGAGGAAATGGAGGCTCAGAGATATTCAATGACTAGTGCAAGGTCACATGCTTAGTTAGTGGCAGAGCCAGGCTTTGACTCTAGAGCCTACCCTCCAATTTTTCCAGGCATCTGTTTATTAAGAGAAAAGAAAGTGCTCCCAGAGGAAAGTAAGGCAGAGAAAGAATCTGCACCCAAGGTGTGTGAGCTCAGGAGCAGTTTGGCCTGGCATGGCTTGATTTGGGGAGCTCATAGAAAGATAAGGGCCCTTCCTTCCAGCAATTATTGTAACACTTCCAGTCTTGGGCAGGGGGGAGGTCGGTGAGAGGGGACTTGGTTGACTCCTGTGGCTGTGAGGAGAGAGGCTGTGGGATGCTGGTTTCTCTTCTGTCCTTCCAGTGACCTCCAGTATTGCCCACACCCCCTCTCTCAGGTCAGGGCCCCAGCAAGAAGGCAGCCAAGCACAAGGCAGCTGAGGTGGCCCTCAAACACCTCAAAGGGGGGAGCATGCTGGAGCCGGTCCTGGAGGACAGCAGGTGAGGGAGGAACAGCTGAGGCATCCTAGAGGCCCTGCCAGGAACCCAGGCCCCTGCACCAGCCCCTCTGCCCACTAGACCTGGCCTGGTGACACTTAGCCACCTTGACCTGGCCTCTTCCTGTGAGTTTCCTCTGGCCCCAAGCAGGATGCTACCAGGGCTTCTGCTGCTGTGAAGGATTCTGGGGGGAATGGCCAGCCCCACTGAGGGGTTGTGGCTGTGGTTTGGGGCTCAGGCTAGGGAGGGAGAGGGGTGGAGGCTGAGGCTAGAGGGAGTTGCTCCCCAACATGCCTCCTCTTTCTATCAAGATGTCCTTCCCTCTTCTGCACTCAGGTTGGAGTTTGTTGCTCCCATGGTTCTTGGGTAGACAGAGATCCTCCTTTCCCTTTTCTCAGTCTTTTTGATCTGGTGTTTGGCAGCAAAGCATCCCAGGAGGAAGAGCTTCTCTGAGACTTTGGTGGTTAGCTTCTCTGAGACTTTGGCTTGAGTGGGAAGAATTTTCTTAGGGGATGGGCAGATCCGGAGGACCTGGGTCCCCCACCCTTCCTCTACCCCCACCCTCCACCCCCACATGGGTGTGAATCAAAGGCCCCCTTCCCCTCGGGAAGTTCTTTTTCTCCCCTAGACTCTTCATTGCCTGAGGACGTTCCAGTTTTTACTGCTGCAGCGGCTGCTACTCCTGTTCCATCTGCTGTCCCAACCAGGTATCTTGTCTCCTGATTGCCTGAGTGGGGGAGGTGGGGGTCCTGGCTCTTGGTCCTCAGCCCTTGGACCCAGGCTGGTCAGGCATGAGGAAGTCTGAGAGTAAACAGAGGCTTGAATAGTTGGGGACCAGACTTTGAAGAATTTTCACCAGCTGGTAAGCTCTTGGGATACGAGGCAATTAATGATTTTTAAATAGCCATACGGATGATGTTTGACTGTGTTTAAGGGTCTTGCAGGTACCATTTTCTTCTGAGTTGGCCCCATGCTAGTCCTGTGTTTGAGTCCCATCAGGTGCTTCCAGGGACTGGATATACAGCCCCTCTCCCACTGTCTTGGCGAGGTGATGATCAAGTGTTCCAGAAAATTGAAATGGGCCTGGGACTGGAGGAGACCTCAGTTGTCGGGGAGGGGGAAGGAAGCAGGCTGGATGTTTGGACCGACAGCTGACTACCTACCTGGTGGGAAGTGGGGAGATGGTAGTGGGGGAAACCAAAACAAGGCTTAGGACTCATGGGCAGCCTGAGAAGGAACCAGCTCCCTCAGCTTTGGCTCTGGGCCCTTTTTTCCTTCAGGAGCACCCCCATGGAGGTGCAGCCCCCCGTTTCCCCTCAGCAGTCTGAGTGCAACCCTGTTGGTGCTCTGCAGGTGTGCCCCCGTCCTCATTTCCTGTGCATGCCTGTCTTCCCTTGAACCAGGGGCCATGAGGGAAGGTTATGGGGATGGTTATCCTGTTCTGAGGGCCTTTTCCACACCTTTATTCTTCTTCTAACCTGGAATCTGAGGCTCCTAGGGTAGCAGGGAGAGGATGTTTGGATTATTTTCTCACTCAGTCTTATGTACCCTTGTTTCTCCCTTCCAAGGAGCTGGTGGTGCAGAAGGGCTGGCGGTTACCCGAGTACACGGTGACCCAAGAATCTGGGCCAGCCCACCGCAAAGAATTTACCATGACCTGCCGAGTGGAGCGTTTCATTGAGATTGGTAACTGGGCAGAAGGGAGTTCTTATAGCTGTGATCCCCCAGCACTCCAGGGCCACAGGCAGCCCTTAGCCTCTCTCTGTTACAGCCCTGTTCTCCTGGATAAGATCTCTAGCTTGGCTCCTTCCTCCCAGCTTCTTCCTTGCACCCTATCCTTCCCCCCTCTTCTGGACAGCCAGGTTCTCAGGTGCATGGCAGGTCCTCAGCTCCCCTTTCAATTGATATCTCCCGAGGGGACCCTCAACCCAAGTTTGAGCTGGGTGGAAAGCACTGGGTCTATTGGGAGTCATAATCCAGTAATCCTTTCTCCACACACAGGCAGTGGCACTTCCAAAAAGCTGGCAAAGCGTAATGCTGCGGCCAAAATGCTGCTTCGAGTGCACACAGTGCCTCTGGATGCCCGAGATGGGAATGAGGCAGAGCCTGATGATGATCACTTCTCCATTGTGAGTGGCTTGTGGGCCATCCTCCGTTACAGGCCTGGGCACTAGGGATTTGGTTCTGTGACTCAGGAGTGAGCCTTGCTGGGTCCCAGGCTTGCTTCTGTCCATTTTCCTACGTTCCTAGGGCCCCCTCTCAGCCTCAGCTGTAGGCCTGCCTAGTGAGTGCGGTGGGAGAGCTGGCCCAGGACAGGGGCCCTCTAGGCTTTGTTCTTCCCGGGAGGAGGAAGGCTGCCTGGCTATCCAGTCCAGAGTCTAGTAAGAGGGGGCCATATAGGGATTGACTGAGGGGGGGGCACGCTGGAGGAAGCATTCTTTGGGCTTTTCTCTTTTTGGACTTTCAATTTCTATTAAATGCCTGGTCTCACAGCCCGTGGCCACATCTTTCTCACTGTTTCCATCTTTTCAGAGTGTGGGCTCCCGCCTGGATGGACTTCGGAACCGGGGCCCAGGCTGCACCTGGGATTCTCTGCGGAATTCAGTGGGAGAGAAGATCCTGTCTCTCCGAAGCTGCTCCCTGGGCTCCTTAGGTGCTCTGGGTCCTGCCTGCTGCAGTGTCCTCAGTGAGCTCTCTGAGGAGCAGGCCTTCCATGTCAGCTACCTGGATATTGGTATGGCTAGTTGGGGGGCCGGGGGATGGTGGGTGACTGGACCAGAGCAAGTACAGATGGGTGTAAGGAGTTGGGGAGGACATGACAATGATGTGGGTGCACCCCTGCTGGTGCTGCCTTCCCACCCAACACTGCCTCTCTCCTCTCTCTTGGTCTCCAGAGGAGCTGAGCCTGAGTGGACTCTGCCAGTGCCTGGTGGAGCTGTCCACACAGCCAGCTACCGTGTGTCATGGCTCTGCGACCACCAGGGAGGCAGCTCGTGGCGAGGCCGCTCGCCGTGCCCTGCAGTACCTTAAGATCATGGCAGGCAGCAAGTAAATCTCCAGCTGGACTCATGGACGTACACCCTTGCTCCCTGCTCTTCCTGCACCCAGCCCAGGCATCTGCCCAGCTCTGGTACCCTCTGGAGGTACCATCTCTACCTCTGACACAGACTGCCTCCCTGCAGGCTGAGGAGGACATGGGACCCGGAGCCAGGGGCCACAGGGCCTCAGCTGGCCCAGGATCCAGCCTCATGTTCCTAGTTGTGATGAGGGAGCATGAAATTGGGAGCTGTCTCCTAGAGCCCAGAATAAATGTGCTGCTCATTGGATTTTTAAACCCTGCTCTTTGTTTCCCTGAGTAGTTGATGGCAGAGGAGGTTAGTGCCAGATCACCATCCCTGTTGTGCCTCCCCCCATGTTCCCATGTCTGCCTTTCTGGTGGCAGGAGGCCGGGTGCAGTGACTCCCAGGAACCCTATTACCTGCATTCCTGGCAAGTTTGGTGGAGATGGAGCTCCGTCCCAGCCCTTTCAAGTCTCAGACACAGACACCTGGATTCAGAAGCCAGGAGGCAGCTTTATTTGGGAGGACACATGACACTTTTGTGTGTGGGCCTTACATGCAAACATATCAAGGGATGACATGTCATTTCTTCCCAAAGCGCTGAGGAGCAGCCAGGCTCCAGAACGGGGAGCTCAGTCCCTCCCCAGCTCGGGGACTCAGCCGTTCGTTGCTCCAGGAACCCCGGGTATTTCTGCCAAACCTTAGGAGAGAGCCATCTTTAGCTGTAGGTCAGTCCAGTCTCCCTTTTCTAGTGCCCCCCCTCTCCTCTCCTGCCCCGGCCCGTGTCCCTCTCAGCTCACCTCTGGGGCTGAAACAGGAAGGCTGGGCTCCGGTCAGGTCTCTTCATGGCCTGGAGCAGGGAGCGCAAGAGCGACCCAGGGGTCTGAGCATCCTGCGGTGGGCGGGGTCCAGTGTCTTCCTCCTGTGGTACAGGGACATGCAGGAGGGAAGATGGGCAAAGACCTTCGGCATTTAGATCACAAAGGAGAAGGATGCGGCTTTCGGGGTCAAGTTGTAGGAGGCCGAGGAGCCATTGCCTCAGATGTGAGAACCCAATGAGGACCCTGGCTACTAGAGTGTTTACACCTAGAGCACAGTCTCCAGCTGGGGTAGAGAAAAATGGTGACATGGGATGGGGGGTGGTGGTGGTGCTAACTTACCGTGAAGATCTGGTCTCCATCCCAGGCCCCTGGTCCTGCAGCGTGGCCCCAGTCTGTTATTAACAGCAGCACCACCAGCAGCACTGCCGCCTGCCTGGAATCCATGCTGTCATCTGCCTTCCTAAGGCCACGTCTGCCTCTTATACCTGCTGTCCCCCTGTCCCCCACCCCTACAACAGCCTGAGGGAGAATCTAGAGCTGGCAATGGAAATGCACGGCTCCATTAAGAACCCCTGGGACCCTCCTCCCATGGCCCCCCAGGGACTTCCTGCTCTCAGCCTCCGGCCCCAGCCCCAAGCCTGGAGTTACAGACTTTATTAGATGCATAAATCCTGTCTCCAGAGCTCAAGAAGCATCATTAATTGCAGACGCTTTGTCAGAGCCAGGCCCTGGGGGGCCTTCAAGAACCCCCAATCCCTCAACAGGTTGGAGAGCTCCAATTGATCACCTCCTCTTTCCTAATTGTAGAATAAAAGCATAAAAAAAAGTCCTGTCAGGAAGAGCTAGGCACTGTGTCCTGGAACAGGAGGGGGTGAAAAGCCAGGGACACAGCCAGGAAGAGCCAGCCTGGTCCCTCCACTGACTGGTGGTGCAGTTAAGGTCGCCCAGCCCATTCACACCCCTGTATATGTACCTCTTGGAGGGTTTACAAATAGAATCACTACTCTGAGATTTGCCTGTGGGTAAAAAGTGAGATACATAAGGAGACTAAAAGGTTTCAGAACCCAAAGAAAATGAGGATTGCTTCAAAACCTCATAGACGGACTCCATCTTCACTACAGAGCAGTTGAGGACCCGTCTCACCTGCGCCTAGGGAGCCGTCCTCCATAGCTGAAGCACTGCTGCCACCCTGTGGCCACAGCTCCGCACTGCCTGGTCTGGCCAGTTCCTATTTCTGGACTAAAGCTCTTTGAAGAAGGATAAGGTGGATGGAGGTTCCTAAGGCCCGACTCGAAGGAGTCCCAGAGAGGCAGGACAGGATACTGGGGTTGGACATTTTGTCCTCCTCCCTGTAGTCCCCCCACCTCTGCCTAGCTCTGACCTATTGGGGCAGGAGACTAGAATCTTGCCTTAGGAAATACCTGCCTCTCAGGAAGGGGTCCTTCAAAGTCATCTGGTGCCCTTCCCCTTCTGATCCTAGAATCCCTTTCTCAGCACCCCCATCTCAGTGGTTCTCTAGCCTAGGCTGGAGAGGTGCCATGATGTAAAGAGCCTGTGAATCAGCCTTGGGCAAGCTGTCTCTCTCTCAAACTGCAGTTTCTTCACTTAAAACATGGCAACGTTAAAAGGAGCAACTTCCTAGGGTGAGCATTATTTGAGATACTTTCTGTAATCCATTCAGTACAGGACCTGACACAGAGCAAGTGTCCTCAAAAACGTTAGCTGTGATGAGCCTTACACACCCTAGTCCCGGGGAACTTACCATCTCCTGAGTCAGCCTTCAGACAGATTTATCCTCGCACCAAGCTGCTGTCCGCCTCCTTGTGGCCTCCACCCAGGGGTCTTAGTTTACCTCATTAAGTCTCACAGAACATCTTGTTTCTTTCATGTGTGCCTTTCACGGGTGTGAAGACAGATTTCATTCTTCCACTCTTCTTTTTTTATTCAAGAGGAAGTTTCCCCCCACTCCACGCCCCCCCCACCCCACCCCTTAAAGTAAGGTATCTACAAACCAATTCGTTCTCTGGATAGGTAGATTAGAGCAGGTTTTGATCTAGATGTTCTAGATATTACATTTCTATTAATGCAGCCTAAGCTAGCAGGCACCTTTCTGTAAGCTTTGTTTCATGGCTGGTCTCAGGCACTGAACCTGACACTCATCATCATTACATCTTGTAGTTTCACCATTTCTTAAGAGGGAGCATCAAGACCATAGATGGTTCTTCTATGGCAAATGGATCCTGCTTCACAGTGAGGTCCTTGTCTGTTCTCACCTGACAGAAGTCCAGAGGAGCAAGGGGCAGGGAGGAGGGGGCACTGTGGAGAGTGGCTCTGGGGTCAGACAGAACTCAGTTTTAATCCCAGCTCTTGCACTTCACTGTGTGCCTTGGACAAGTGTCTTAACCTAAACCTCGGGTCGTCATCAATAAAATGAGGCAACTGTTCCTGTTATCAAGAGGCTGTTGGAAACAGTAAGTGACGTGTGGCACCTAGCATTCCATCTAGCACAGAGCAGGCACTCAATAAATGTTTACCACCCTGAGGCTTCCCTCTCTACTATTTCTCTAATCACCAGTTACAACTGTGTCTGAGCTGAGGCTGCTCCGAGAAAGGGCTTCCTACGTCCAGGATGGAGGTGACTGGTCTCTCCTTTGGTTGGTGTTGGAATGAATGAATTCTGCTAACATGGGAAACTGCCCTGCCTTCAGAGTCTCAAACCTCTTAATCTTGGCTTCAGTATTTGGCTTCCAGTAACTCCCTCTCTGGACCTCCATGTGCTCCTGACCACAACACAGTGAAGACCACCACTGTATTTCCCACTCTCCTAAGGAGACTCAGTCTCCCTATTTGTCAATTATACCGAACATCAACCAAAAACAGCTTCTTAGATCACTTCATTCCCACTGAGAAACCTTCGGAGGCACCTGCTATCTCCTGGTCAAGTCCTTCAGCCTGGCTTACTCTCCTCACTTGTGGTAATTATCAAGGAATACACAGATGCAAGAAATTTGTAGTGACTGCCCTACACCTTACTCCATACGGTTCCTAAGCATTACCTGTTGTCTTGGGAACTCTCTCTCACCTGCTTCTAACCAACTTCCCCCCATACCCATAGATCTCATAGAATCATAGAAAGCTGCTCTTTCAGTCTGTGTGCATTCCCCAATCATGCTGGAAACTTCATAAGGATAGAACTTACGTTGTCTTTAAAAAAAAAAAATTGTTGGGAGGGGTTGGGGACAAAACACTGAAAACGCTGTTCCATCCCCATCCACTTAAAGCACACAAGTCCTCTAGTGAGTGCTCCCATGATGCCAAGGGCCCTCGTCCCCAGGGCAGTAGACACATCTGAGCCCTGGTCCCTGTGCTTTCTGTTGTGTTATGTAATTTATATAAACCACCCACCTTCTCTAGACTATGTCTTCACTGCATAAAAAGGAGGGATAAGAATCCCGGCTCCTTCTGTCCTAAGAAAGGGGCGAGTGAGGAAGATCACAGACATGAAAACCCAATGAGTTCCCAGAAAGGGAGGACAATGGGACTTGTAGATCAGAGTACTGAAGCATCAGACATAACAGTGGTTCTCTTGATAGTTTAATGTTATATTTGCAGCATAAATAAGGCACAATATATGTCATGGCGAGGGAGAGAGGGAGAAGGCATGGCTGGGGGGATAACTGCTAAGTGGCAGGGGAGGCAGAAGGGACGGACGGTTAGGGAGAATAGAGCGAAGCCTCTGCCTCAGCCCCGTCCCGGGAGTGTGTGAGAGCCTGCTCACAGGGATCATGCTGAGTTGGATGGAGGGGAAAGGAGAAGATGGTTTTGTAACAAAATAGCCTGTAGCACTGCATCCTCCCACCTGACAAAGTCCACCACTGGGGACCGGGGAGACCCAGACCACAGTGGAGTTCCTTGATGAGATGGAGAGGCTTTGCTACATGTCAAAGATATACAGATGAGCAGAGATATAACCATAGATACACACTGCTTTCTTTTCAACAGATACTATGTCAGGAGGCTGCAGCTTCCACTGTTGGGGCTGGAGGCTCATCTCCCTGCCTGAAAGGTGTGTGTGTGTGTGTGTGTGTGTGTGTGTGTGTGTGTGTGTGTGTGTG